TTTCAACTACGAAGAAAATTAAGATTAGATCTAAGGACTGAATTACATCGTCTAGTTTGGACAACTGTGAGAAAGGAATACGATCCCCTAACCTCATTTGCTGTGGAAAGACTATATGTCAACATCATTTATGAATATGGACTACTATTTGGCTTTAACCTGGTCCTTCTACCGATTGCACTGCAAATTGGTACGACTTATGCATAGATTTCCCGAAAAATTTCGCTGCAATTTTAATAGTTTTAGGATGAAGAGAGTTCACTAATGACTGTTCGATTGTCTCTTTTATCCTACCTTTTATGAACAGTCCTCTCGAGTGCAGAGGTTTACAGTCCGTTAACAAAAAAGTGGTGCTGCATCGCGCCCATGCTGATGCCTCGTTGTGGAGTCGGACTGTGCACTCTCCATGGATGCTTATATGCCGTCGGAGGACAGGATGGGATCGTTGAATTGAACACAGTTGAACGCTACGATCCAGTAACTAACATTTGGGAGTTTGTGGCCCCTATGCTCTCCAGGTAGGAAAATCATGCTGACTTTGTTCGTTCTTTTGCGTATATCATTAATTCGTTCTTTAATGTATAGTAGTTATCCTGCTTATTTGCTTACTTACTTCTCTAGAGCTTCTGTATTGCCACATGTTTTATCTTACATAGTTACATGCTGCCTTGAATTTTTACTTTATTGAATGCGGTGACATAAGCACTACCCACGATAAGAGGAAGTCTTTTGGGCACATCATTTAATTTCGTATTATAGTACATGATGAAAAGATTCGAAGATGGATCTCACCATATGACTTCAGCTGATTCCGGTTGTAGTGTAGCCGTTTGGTTTTAGTACGACATTCAGGTTGACGTAGTACACGAGACATCCTCCATCACTTCGGGTAAAGGAGAGTAGAAGCTTTTGTCCGTTATACGACAATCATCATCAGAGCTGGGACTAGTTCTTGCAAAATTCTCAAGTTTTCGCTAAATCATGGGGCGAGTGCAGCTTCAACCTCGTCTGGGTCTCATCAGCACCTACAACGGGACTCGAACCAGACTAGTGCGGCGTATAGTTTTAAAACTTTTACCACTAAACCACGCTGCCACGAGCGCCCTTGGGCCACAGAATAGATGTGACTTTCAATGAAGGCCAGGCTTTTCCCTATCACAGTTATTAGTTGGATTGTCGATGACGCAAAGTTGTATTTACTGCAGCCACCGACTACATTATTAATTTTTCGTTTACTAATATCTCATATGTGGCCTAAGGGCACTCATGACAGTGTGGCGTTGTGGCTAAAGTTTCGACGCTTGTACGCTGCATTAACCTGGCTCGGTTCCCGCTGTGGGTGCTGTTGAGAC